ATAATAATAATAATAATAATAATAATAATAATAATAGTTATAATAATAATAATAATAATAATAATAATAATAATAGTTATAATAATAGTAATAATAATCATTTGCATTGTACACTTACTAAAATATACCACAACATATTCGTGTTCGCTTATGAGATCGGTCAGAATTTCATCCGTGACCTCTTCGATCGTGGCAGTGTTTTTTTGTTCGATTAACCATTCCAAAACTTCATCTTCGTTGAGAAGATCACCTTCGTAAATAGCTGGTATCTTATCTTCGAAATAAACTAAAGTAGGAAGATGATCGATACCATATTCTTTCGCTTCTGCATCATTATCCATTCTAATGATAACAATGCCTTCCTTTTCGAGTTCATCGTCGATATTTTCTAATTCGTTTAAAATACGTATATCCTGCTTGTCGTCTTTGTCGTCTATAAACAAATTATACAATTTCATTCATCCATACATTATTACAAATACAACAGAGAGATTTTAGATTTTCTTACAAAAAAGAACAGCAAGATATGGTGAAGTTTCAATGAGCTTTTCCATCATCTCATCCGTTACTTCAGGAATCTCAGTATGTTTTTTCTGATGTAAGAGCCAACCCAATAACTGATCTTCGTTCATTAAATCACCTATAATAAAATCAATATAATCAAAATTGATCATTTGAAATATTTCAATGAGTTTATTGAAATGTTACCTTCGTAAACGTGAGGTATTCTTTTTTCGAAGAAAACTAAAGTTGGAAGGTTTTCAATACCATATTCCTTGGCTTCATCTAAATCATGAATCTTAACAAAGGCTATGTTATGTTGATCACAATCATCGTCAATGTTTTCTAATTCGCCAAGTACGTTTTTACTTTTTTTTTGATCTTTGTCATCTAAACAACAACAACAACAACAACAACAACGATAACGATTTTATTCCAACGATAATTATTATATTAAGCGGTATAAAAAATAAAAAATAACAAAAAAAAATAAAAATAATAATCAAATTTATTACTAACAAAAAAGTACGGCTACGTGGGGCATTTTTTCAATAACTATGTCTAACATCTCGTCGGTGATGTCCTCTATTTGTTCACTCTTTTGCTGTTGTTCCAACCATTTCAATACCTTCTCCTCATCCTCCAAATTACCCTCGTACATCGTTGGTATTCCTTTTTCAAAATAGAGCATACTTGGTATCTTTTCTATACCATATTCCTTTGCTTCTTCAGCGTTATCGATTTTCACAAAAGTAATTCCCAATTGATCGCATTCGTCGTCAATGTTCTCCAATTCGTTTAAAATCCTTTGTGATTTTCTATCGTTGTTATCATCTTATTACGTAAAAACAATTAGAAAAATATTCAAATATAAAATTAGGTCATAATAATAATAATAATAATAATAATAATAATAATAATAATAATAATAATAATAATAATAAGCTTAAACTTGAAAAAGAACTTACAGAAAAGAACAGCCAAAGTTTTGCCATCCTTTATCAAACGATCCAACATCTCATCGGTAACATCTTCTATCTCATCTTTTTCTAATTGAGATAACAGCCATTCTAAAATCTCATCCTCGTTTTCAACGTCACCTATAATTATAATAATCTGTTATATAATAATCTATCTGTTGGATAGTTTAATTTATTAATCTTTCATTTGATCAATACCACCTACCGTCATAAACATTTGGAATTTGCTTTTCAAAATAAACAATAGCTGGTATAGAATCAATACCAAATTCCTTCGCTGCTTTTTCATCGTCAATCTTAACGAATTGAATCCCATGTTTGTCCAAATCGTCATCAATCTTTTCAAGCTCGTTCAATACTTGCATCGAATCTTCGTCACCGTGATCGTCTGTTTAAAATACAATTCGACTTATTATAATAATTATATATTATAACGTACATTAACAATTTTATTGCTTATTGATCAAAATATACATATACTTACAAAATAAAACGACCAAGTTATCGATGTTTCCAATCAAAGTGTTCAATGTTTTAGCCGTTACATCTTCGATTACATCTTCTTCATCGCCAGTACTTTTATTTGCTACTAGCCATTCCAATACGTCTTCCTCTCTGCTCAATTCGTCTATGCAATCACATTGAATTTATTATTTGACCTTTGTCAAATTCATCTTTACATCTTTACAAGTTTTTCTATAATTGATAGTTGATACATACGTTCGTAGATAATAGGTATTTGGTGCCTATAATAAACGAGAGCCGGTAAAGGTCCGAGATTATATTCTTCGGCAAGTTGTTCATCAGCAATTTTGACAAAACCAATACCCAATTGATCAGCTTCGTCATCAATATTCTCCAATTCTTGAAGTGCTCTCAAGCATTTTTTGCAGTCTGGCTTGTCTGTCCCATTAGAAATAAAGTGATAGATTACAAATCCTATCTCCATCATCTTCTTATTTTTCATTTGACATTAAATTATTCTTTCTCTTTTGTATTATAAAATAGCAATCAATTTCTAAAAAAAAAACTATATAGCAAAACTGTTTCATTTGGTGAAATTTCATTGGTTCAATTGATGCGAGTAGAACATGGAAAAACAAAATAAATATATCCTATAATAATATTATAAATAGTATGCATTTTTTATCATTGAGAACATTACAGATGACTACTAAATTACTAAATAAGTAGACAAAGGACACACCATCCATATACAACATGTATCTAAGGTATTGTTTTAGCTTTCTAAGAAAATATCAAATTTGTTGTTAATATAGAATAAAATAGCAGAATAAAATATATAACCGTTGAAAGAAAAAAAAAACGTCAACTAGAAGCAAGGTTTAAGTTAATATACATAAAAGCATGTACATAACATATATATACATACATGATAGATAAAAGCACTAATGTAAAAGGTAAGGATTGGTAGATTTGCTTTTGAATGTGTACTTACTAGAACCGGTGCCAGCACATCGCTGCGTATCCGGACCTATCCACATTAACACACACAAAAACGTTTCACATATATGTAATATTTACAAGTATTGTCATAATGCAACGGGTCGCAAAGCGAAACGTTCGACGAATCTCATACGTAATCGTAAATTAAATATCGCATTAGGCATGTAGCTTTGCTCGACGAGAGTCGTGATTTCATTATTTATCAATTGATTGCGATATATTGGATCTCATATTACAAGCAATTCGCAATCATCTTACTTTCAATCATTACTTTCGTCAAGCAACATTAATTATGCCAGCAGAACTGCAGTGTGTGCATTGACTTTTATTAAACAATCATCGGTAGTAAATTGTGTATGCATGTCTTCTTCTGTTCTATCATGTTCTTATATACATATATGTGTACATATACATATACATATACATACATGTATATTTTCGTGTTCTTTGCGATACGTTATGTGCGCAAACCTTGGTACCTGTACCTTGTTTGTCGCTAATTAATCAAAAAAAGAGACATAGAGACAATAACGATTCATTACAGAAAGAATAAGGAAAAACAAATACTAACATTAGGTAAGATTGAATAGATTAGTATGTATCTACAGGTAATCCCAAAAGGTTTGATACTGACCTTTCATTGTCATAAATTTAAACGTTAAAAACCTTTTGGGGATATCCTGCATATACGTATGAGTATATATGCGTTGTTATTTGTGTAAGGATTTATTTATAACATATAACGAAAATAACTAACGAGTTATGTGAATGACAACATTAGATATGTACAACAATATATATGTATATACAGAGTTATGATAAATATTGCTTTTTTTTACCGTTTGTTTACTTTTTAGACACGTCCAGTTGAAAAAAGGGAATATATTCAAGCGCGCAACAAGGACTAGGAATATGAGAGTGAAAAAAGAGTAAATAAGGAATGATATTTGCAACACGTCTATCACAATGAAGTACAGCTACTTATCATGGACTATGTTTGATATTGTATTGATATATATATATATTTATCCTTTCTAAAAATATCCGTGTTGTCCTAGTGGGACTAGTATGCCGTAGGAACGTAACTTTTAAAATGAATCATTCATTTTCTAGACTATTATTTAATTGTATTGCTCTGTGATCGAAGAAATCGCTCTCTCCCAATATGATGCTAATTTGAAGTAGATTGAAAAAGAACAATTCGAGAAGAGGATATGTAAATAAAAATAAGGAGACAACAAAATAAAAACTCACAGAAAAGAACCGCTACGAATTCGGTATCTTCGACGATTTTATCCAGAATTTTGGCATTGACTTCTTCTATCCGATCAGGTAAATCCATTGCTTCTAAACTAGTAAGAAAGTCTAAAACGTTTTCTTCGTCCATCAAGTCTCCTAAAATGATGAATGATGAATTATTTATAGGAATTTATTTAATATTATTTTCATTCCATTATTTAAAAAAGGATTTGATATTTGTCATGATGATCCTAAATATTAAACAAATTTTAATATAAGAAATATTACAAGTGTTTCAGAGTAAATAGATTACTCTAGATTTTGTTCACAAATACTTGTGTCTTATGAATATTTCATTGAACAAATTATTTATAGAGAGGGGGTGGAAGGAGGGAAAATTGTTTTATTATTTTTGTTTTTCAATAATAAATTGTTCAATCTCACCATCGTATATAATTGGTTCTTTTTCACGGAAATACGTGAGGGCAGGGAAATTTTTAATTCCATACTGTTTCGCAACTCTTTTATCGTTGATCTTGACAAAATCAACTCCAAAGTGATCCGTGTCATCATCTATTTTTTCCAATTCGGCTAATACTTTGTCACATGTCGTACAGCTTCTCGCATCTGTAACCAATCAATTATACTATTTTATTATTATAAATATATATCATTTATAGACATATTTGTTATAAATTAGATGGATAAACATATATTTCTTTTTATTTTGCGTGATTTGTTTCAACTTGGAATATAGGATAGTTTATATCGCGATTATTTTGTATTTTTTATCGTTAATTAGATCTCTAGGTTTTGTAAGTATTCAATAGTTGGTGCCGTATTTTAATTCAATTATTTCAATTGATTCACGTGACACGTTTTTTTTTTTTTTTTCAAATTTACGTACGACATAATCTTGCTTTTTCCATTTTTTCCTATATTATTATATCTTCATATATTGTTAACACAAATTAACACTTTTTAAATAATTATACTCAAATATGAGATGATTAAAATGTCAAATTACAAATTTCATGTTCTTTTGTGCTTAATATTTCAACTCACCGAAATTATAAGTGAAAATTAATTAGACTCCATTGAACAGTTTAATATTATATTAAATGAACGTATATTATAATAAAGCCACAGCAACGCGTGGCCGGGGCACCTATATATTATATAATTTTTTTTTCTTTTTTTTTTGTGTTTTTTTCTTTTATTATCGCCTTATCGTATTCAAGAACATCTCGAGCTTCAGGTTCATTGAAAATTCAGTCCGCACTTTTGTATTTTATGTTTTTCACCAGTCTCTTGGCAGACTTGTCCGAGCTCTTTGCCGGCTCTATTTGCGGTGTCGGCTGACCGTGCTCTAAGCGAGTATTCGGTTACAATTGTTGAATATGGAACGTTTTACAATTAATTGGCATAAATAGGTTAAACAATACTTTACACAATCTACTCTAGACATTCTCCTTACATATATATGAATAATAGAAAAACAAATTACGTTTTTCTTATACAATTACTTCTACTACTTTTATTTTGTATTATTTCATAAAAAGTATTTCTCATCATTAGGAGATCATCCATTATAGTTTTTCATAAATGAATTAATTGTATCTCCAGTATCAAGACAAAATTTCTATTCTTCCTGAAATTGTAAGTATGATATAAAAAAAAATTAAACACATAAATTATATTCCGTATTAAAATGTTATTTCATATTTTATTTCAGATCATCGCATTATTGAATTCATGATTAACATTTGTAAAAAAAAAAAAAAAATAAATAAATATTATGCAAGAAAATGATACAAAAACAAATGAAATTTTACATATATAACAATTTGTATTTTAAATAATTCAGGATTCTTAAAAAGAAAATTCATGGCTGCCATTTGTAAAACAAAAGACTAAAATACTATCGGAGAGTAGAAAAAAAAAAGTGCAATGGTAATAATAAGATTATTTGCTTAGCAATAGGCAAATCGAAAAAGAAAAAGAAAGAGAAAGAAGAAAAAAAGGAAGGAAAAAAGAAAAAGATAGTCTACAAGAGAAGCGGCACGAGACGATGAGAGCGGGAGAACGTGCCAGCTGGAAATAGGTTCGACGTGAGAGCTCGTGGTCCGGGTCCTCCTCCTCTACGTATACATGCGTATAAGTGCGTTCGAAGACGAAGACATCGTCGACGAACCGCGACGATTTGTTGCCCGGGCTTTTACACCAAGCTTCTTCCTTTTTTCTTCTTTTTTTCTTTTTTCTTTTTTTCTTTTTCCGTAGAAGATTATGCTTAGCAATTTTCTTCCACGTGATCAACCAATAATGCTACCTCAAAGTACGAATGGATCGTCGAAATTCGTAGACACACGGTAGTAGTAGTAGTAGTAGTAGTAGTAGTAGTAGTAGTAGTAGTAGTAGTATTAGTCAAGCTTTTCTGATTAGTAGGGTAAGCGCGAAAGAGGAAGAAAGAAAGATAGATAGAAAGAAAGATCGTGTGTGTGTGAGAGAGAGAGAGAGGCTTGGAGGCAAAAGCCAAAATAACTCGAACGGGTTCTAAATGCGGCAGAGTGCTCGGCCTTGCTACAGCGCCTTTAAGAATCAAGTACCACTCTAGGATGATTCCTGTATACAAAATTCATACGTTTTTCTTTCCAACCGAAATAATTTCGGTATATATATGTTAACAGATATTCAGTAATTATTAATTAGAATTAATAAGTAGTAAGAATTTCCCATTTGAAGTAGTTTCTTCATACGTAAATGTTCATTCATTGATCGAGATTAGGCTATATTTCGGTGGTTTTTTCTTTTTTAATTTATTATCGTCTTTCGTTTAAACTCGATGAATTTAAAGCAACATCGAGCACGTGTGTGTTATATCTCCCCCACCCCCACCTACATAATACCACCCCTCATTCCCTACCTTCTTTCAGTTTATTACAATACATAGTTCGCTTTTAGGTATGAGAGTTTCTCTCTCACTGGGTGGATAAACTTGGCAGAAACAGTGAATTCGTGTCTGTTATATCACACAGGAAAATTGCCTTGATGTGTCTATAGAGAGAAGGTCATAATTCCTTCTTAGATCGTCTATAGTGTTCATGAATTCAAGAAAGTAAACTGTCCTAAATGCGTTAGTTAGTTAAAGCATGTATTAACATTTTCTAACTGTCTCTAAATACAAGTATCAAGTGCCAAGTTAATGTGAAGTCGCTGAACCAAATGATATGTAACCTTTGATGGAGTTCATTATGTCGTGTATAAAGAAACGTCATGGAAGTATTCAAATATGTTTTTTTTTTTTTTTTTTTTA